CGTGTTGCTGATTTTAGAATGGATGTAAAATTAAGCTCCGTCATCCTGCTTTTTTCCTTGAACTGGAGATGATGTGGACAATGCAAGGCGAACTTTAATGAGTATGCGGGGTATGGAATAGAAAATCGTGAATATTTATAATAATAATTTTTGATTATTTGAAGTATCAGTTTTGAAATACAGTATGTCTAAAATTGAAGCTCATTCAAATTACTCGAGAATGCCGGGCGTCAAAAATTTTTTGTGTGTGTGTTCATTTAGTTATGATTTAGATTGGGCCATCAATATATTGTAACTCGAAGTAGAAAGTTTCCGATTGCCTTCTTACCAAGAGGGTTTTGGAAGGTTCGTCTTAGTTTTGCTTGCTTCTTACACGATTTTTTTGGCCGCCAGCTGGACAATGAATTCCCGTCCGAATGATATTTCAGGGATTTTCTGAGGATTTTTTTTCAACATTTTCTCAAATTTGTTGGTCATGATACTCATGAATCATGACTGAAACACAGGAAGGGCTAATTTCACGCAGCGTTCTCTTATTTGCAAATTTTCTTGTTGAACCCTGAAGTTTTTAGAATCAAGCTATGGAAAAAGCACATTAAATTCTCAATTTTTTTTAAATGCGTGAATGTAATCTTGTCCAACATTTGGGCGAGAGAAAATGTTAATAAATTTTTTTTCAATACCATCTTCTATTTCAGCCTATTTCAGTTACGCCGAGTTTTTATACCACATGAATACTGTAATTCAATCATACACGAATTTTGTAGTTTTCAGAATTTCATTGATGCGTCTTGATCGTGAAATATTTGAGGCAGAGATGCACGATTGACCCTTCAAAAGGGAGAAACATCCTTAAAAAACGCAGGAAAGGGGAAGAACCAATAAATACAATCTCTAAAAAGTTTTTGAACAAGATACCTTTGCAGAAAAAAATTTAAAAGCATTGCAGAAAGGAGACTTGATGAAAAGTCATCTCCTATTAAACAGAAGGGTTGTTCATTGAAAAATGAATACAGTATACAGCATTTTCTGCATTTTAAAGGCGTATAAACCCTGGCCGCAGCCCAGCTGATCATGTTTTCAAATTTATTTGTACATGTGCCTTCTTTTTTTGAGCCAGTCCGGCGAAACTTCGAATATTCGTGGGCTTTTTCAATTTATATCTCCCACATTAGACACACATGAACTTGGTATAGGATTTAGCAGGAGATTAAATTACCGTAGTGTAGGATTGGTTGAATCATTTTCTGGTATTTTTGATGAAAAAAATTTCGGTTACAGCTCTTTACTTAATGAAATGGATCATTCGTCTTGATTTAATTATCTAAAGCGAGAATTATTAACCCGTGCTTTTCCAAACTCCAGAAGAGTTGGGCCAGAAATTACCTTGGGATTCCACAGTTACTTCAGGTGAGAAGAATGTGTAAATCTCACATTCAGTCAAAATTTAGGACGCACAAAAAATAGACAGGATGATTGATGGTCTGAGGCTAGAACAGGGAAATTTTACCCATATCCTATAGCATTGAATTTTTGCCAAACATTCGCCACGGGGACTCGGGGACTCCAATAGTTCTCAAAAAAGGGTTCACAAAAAAGATTGAGAATCTATGATCCAAGAATTTCCCAGTGCCCTTATTTCCTCCTCAAAACTTATATTCTATGCTAAAAACAGATGCTCCCCTCGAATTTATGCGTGCCATAATCGTGAATTCCTCACAACAAAATTTGAAGGCCTCACCGTGGTCAAAACGTTCTATGATGAATGGATACTACCTGAATTCTATAGTCACCTTGTACAGGTCCACAAAGGTTGTAAAATCTGACGAATATTGTAAACTAGGTTAATGAAAGCTTCTGAAACTAGGTCAGCGCCCCCGCATTTTCTCGCCCTCATCTCACAAGCTTCTCCTCGGTATAAAAAGAAAATCCGACAGCCAACATTTTCTCCGAAAGAAATCCTACGACAGGCGAGAGGAAACATTGGATTCCTAATTCACTCCACTTTCGCGTACTGCTGCTCGCCGACCCAGTTGTGTCACATTGTTGTAGTACGTGTTTCACACATGCAATGAAAAGGGCTAACCCATGCCAGTAGCTAAAAATTATAGCATTAAAACAAGCTCATAATTTTTTGAAAACCACGAAATTGTCCATTCGTGAGTCACCCAGAAGCATTACTGGCAAGTTTTACTGCCAAAATCAAGAAAGAATCGAGGCTTCTTCAGGGAAACACAACGTTTTTATTTTCAACCCTAGCTTGAATGGTGGAGCACCGAATATTTTACGAGATTTCCATTGCAGAAGCTCTAAAATTAAGTACAAGTGAGACCCTGAGATAAGAGTGTCCCCAAGTTTAAATGTCGAGTCTTGTTTTCCCATAGACTTGCATTATATAATTTTTAATTGGTGTTTTGTGGAAGGAATTTTCTTCAGAATTCCCTGAAAAAAATCATTTGCCACTTGAATTTGAATTAGTGAATACATTTTCAACTCAATAAGAACATTTAGAGCAATGAATAGTGTATCTCTGTACTGTACACTGATATTTTGGCATCTGCAAAAATATTATTCAAGGGAAAAAAAGTAGAAGTCCCTCAATGCTGGAGGTAATTTTTTTTTAAATTAGCTAAATGTATGGTAATTTGGTAAGATAAATGCCCAAGAACTTTTCTTACATCAGTTTTAGGGTTGGAAATATCTGTTTCTTGTAATTTGGCCTGAAATTTATTTGCAATTCTATCACAAAATGTCCCTATGTTGAGTCAGTGTCCTCATGTTGGGCCAATTTTATTAATTTTTTTCTGGGAAAATAAGTGTCCCTATTTCGAATTGTCCACAGGTCGAGGCGTCCGCATGTGGGGGTCTCACTGTAGTTCAACTGCTAATTAATGTTATGTCAGATAAACCCGTAACCCCGCGAAAATCATTCCACTGGGTTAGGATTGCCCTCTTTTGTGTGGAGATCAGCCCCGGCGATGCTGGGGGCGGGGGCCAGTTTTGGAAAGACCCAGTCTGGCTGTCGCGGCCCTCGAAATGCCAGACTGGCACGGGTTGCTCAGAGAACAGGTCCCCGATCGAGACGCAATGTCGCCAGGTTGCCCCTCAGTTTCCGGGGTCCAATAAAAGGGCTTTAAAACACAGCCCGAATGCTCAGTCTCGCTTCTGAGCTCAGCCCAGTGCTCTCCCTAATTTTCGAACAGAAGGATTCAGTTTTCAAATTCGTCAAAAGCAATCCAAACTGTTTAAGAGATCCATCTAAATAAAATGTTGTGGCTCGTGTTTGCGTGCTTTCATGTTCGAAACAAGTGCTCAATTAATAAAAGTTCAATCTAAGATGTGTGCAGTGAAATACATTCCACTTCGCCCTGAAGTGAAGACGAAGTCTACCTGTTGCCTCTGGGCCATTGGATGGCAAATGGTTCTTTTTTTAATTTGAGTGGTGGTGCTTGAAATTTTTCATAGGCCAATAGTTTGACCGAGTTTGTCCAAATTTGAATATACTGTCCGCGGAGAAAAAAAAACAAGAAAAGTTGGTAACGTCAAGCTTTTGTCCCAGGTTAATTGTAAGGCTGAAGATTGAAGGAAAAAATCAAACTTTGGATAGATTTTTGCTGTTGCTCGTGAAATTTTCTGTGCAAAAAATTGCAGACTTTGACAATTACCACCGATTAAATTAATTACCTCTGATGCTTTTGCGATGGACATCCTGTGAAAGATTCTGTGCTCCACCACTGCATGAAGGGTCGAAGATGAAAATGTTGAGTTCCTTTCCATAAACCCCAATTCTTTATTGATCGTGGCAGTAAATCTTGCCAGTAATGATCTTGGATGACTCAAGAGCCAAGAATAGTTTGAAAAAAAATGGTTAAAAAAATTAATGAGTTCCTAATTGAAAAAAATTAGGAGCTCATATTTTGGAAATAATTTTCGATCATTCCATGGGAAAAAGGTATTCCTGGAAATGTGTCACACAGGATACAATTCAATCAAGTTTCATACAATCAAAAGTATTTACCTCAACATGAAATTAACAATTATTGTAGAATGGAAAGAATCACTTACTTTATCCATGTGCAAAAGGCCCATTACATTAGTCGGTTTACACAAGGTGTTCTTACTTAAAAATTAATCAGCTGACTTCTCGTGATTCTATTTCATGCCCTGTTTTTTTAAAGGTTTGGTCTCTGTAGAATACAAAAATTCATGAATTCCCATTTTTCTGCATTTAATTTAATAATATCTGTCGAGTTTCTCATACGGAAAATGAACATTTTGTCGTCTTGATGCAATTTCATACTCAATTCTGTTTCTTGGTAATACTGTATGCAACACGTGCCGAGACTATGTAACACAAATTATGTTTCGAAGTTACATGATTTCTCCTTCTGTTTGAAAGAATACTTTTCAGCCGTTTAGAAATATGTAAAAATTTTGCATGCGTACAGCTTGAAGACATGTTTCAATTTTTTAAAAGTTGTTTCTATCCTGAAAATAAGGCAGTCTGCTTCCTGTATATGTTTTATTTTGCCTTGCCAAAATAAAAATACATAATGCGGAAAATGTTATAAAATGGTGGAAAAGTTTATGTCTTTTGTTTGGTACCATTTAATATTTAGTAGTGTCCAGAGGCGAATGCACGTGTTGCCTGCTTTGGTTGAAAACAATGTTAAAGCTCTTTGAGCAATTACATTTTGGGTTAGGTTGCAAAGAGAGGGTCTCCTTTTTGAATTGCCGGTTGAAAAATGTGAAGATGTTTCAGGAACCCAAAACAGAGAAAAGAGTTGAATTAGAGTTGAAAAAAATTGCACCGAAAAACATGATATTGTTCCCAATGTACCATGCGAAATACCAATCCCGATTTTTTTTTTGTGAACTCGACAGAGGAGAGCCACAGTGTTCTCATCCATCTGTATATAAAGACGATTTTCCTCTTCTGTGTCTCCCATTCAAAACCCAGGGGCCTTTTTTGGTTTGGTTTTTATTACAACTTCCTCAATATGAATCTCACTGCTGCTGAAGCTCAAGTGTGTCCGTGTAACTGCAGACTTGCGACGATCAAGCCTCATCCACCACCATCAGCATCAGGCGGGACAATGAGACGAAAGGGCTTTCAAGCTGCATCTACTGTATTTGTCCCGCTGATGTGCCTAGTAGCTTTAATGCTCTTGCCGTCGACGTGTCTGACGACAGCAGCGTCGACTGTCGTGGACAGACCTGCACAGACTTGCGGTTCAGACAAGCTTATCGTGTATCGGGTGACGCTCGAAACCTTCTGGTCTCCTGCTGCTTTCCCGAAACATTATCCCAAGTGGCGGCCGCCTGCGCAATGGTCCAAGGTTATTGGTGAGTGTTTTTGATTTTTTGCACCTGTGATTTGTTTTATGACGCATGCAAGAATTTTGTAAATCGGATGCGTAATATCACGGTATCAATTAATTGTCTTGTCGATTTTTTATTGTTCACGAATACAAAAGAAAATTTATCTTTCCAGTAGTGAAATAACGCTTTATCCTCGAGCGTGAAAATAAATTTTTTTTTTCTGCTGGGCGCAGTCAGAAATAAAATTGAAAACGCGTCGATTCTAATGAGCAATGGCTTAAGACTACTTGTATCACAAAATCTGCTCTTTTTGATAAGCACTCGAATGACTTGAATCGATAGTCTGATTGAAATTGTTGACAAAATCAGAATAAAATAAGAAGATTCTTTTCCTATTTTTTTATACTGTATAAGGAGTTAAATAGAGCATATATCACGAAGCTTCAGAATTTTGCTAATTTTCCATGCAGCTGGCTGGAATGGAAAGGAAATTGGATCGATCGCATTTCCATGTGCAATGGTCAAACGTTGTCGGTGATTCACTTCAATTTGACACTTTCATACGTATAAAATTAATTTTCCCCGGAGTAATAACATTTAGTGTCGTCAAGTTTGTCCACGACATTAGAAAAAAAACGGGAACAGGATCTTTCAGGGAATGAAGTAATGTATGGCTTATCCCTAAATTTCTTATAATCCAGTATTGCCGCTTTTTACTTGATGATACTCAAAGAAATTGAAAAGTCTCTATTCCGAACATGAAATCAAGGAATTATTGAAAAAAAAAACTTCCTTGGCGCCATGCAAAAGCTTTTCGGGACTGCTTTTGTGCATTGTTTGTTGATTTGGGAAGCTGGTTTTCGAGTCGCAAATGCTTCAAGTTAAGCAATTTTTTTTTATAAAATGCGTATGGGGGACCAGGACATATTTCATTTCTATGAAGATTATTTATCTATCTTCATTCTGAATTTTTTGAAAGAACCGACAAGAATTCACCACTACCCCTAGTAAACTACCCTGTCAAAAGTATCGTTTACTTTACTGGAACCAAGAGCCAACCATGCAGAGAAGATGTACTTTCCATTCAAGATTTTGAATAGTAACTGTTTTAGAAAAAAAATTCTAATAATTACTGAAAGAACATTCCCACGACTTGTGATTCCATATAATATTTTAAAGAAAATACGTATTATGAACGTTGCTGATAAACATTTTTTTAAGATTCTTTTCCCGTTGGACTGCAAAAATAAATAAATTTTATTTTTAAATAAGCGAGGTATGTCAGTCAGGGTACTCAGGGATCAATACTGTGTGTGTACATGAATCAATGATAAAATACAGCGAATACTCGTATCAGGCAAGTAACGGTTATTGCTTAAAAAAACTTGAATCGTAGGAAAGTACAATACCACTCTGTATTTGAGTTCAATCTTCACATTCTCATTCTAATTGGTTCACAAAAATGAATCTCTTCATATGTACGAGATTTTTGCCATATCATCGACATGCTCGATTATTTCATCCAGTGAAAAGGTAAGGTCAATGAAAAGATAAGGTCGCGCAATTCTGAACCGCCATGACCGCGAGGTGCTCCTATTCAACAGCTGCCCACGAGAAATAACCCAAGAACATATTCCCATAAATATTTTATGCCGTCTCATCGAAGTGGGAAGCAAGGGGGAAAAAAAGTAGTACTGAGGTAATTGCGCTATTAACCAAAGGAAGTTCTTTCAAACGATGGATGGCGGCTCTCAAGTCAACTTTTTTTTTAGAAAACTTTTACCGTACCCCTCGAACTTAGCCATGGAAGTAAGTCGCCTACGAGCTGACATCAGTGAGACTCGGTAGTAATAACGATGCCAATCGGCTCCTTTCGCTGGTTGCCGGGTGTCGGGTTCGGCTGTTGTGCAACAAACACATCCATTCACTCCCCCGCTTCTTGAATTATTTCTGGGTTTTTGTGTGTGTGTGTACAATTTCAAAATTGTTTGGGTAGAGGGTATAAGCAAGTGAAAGGGAGACAGAGCGGATGTTATTAATGAAAAATGCAGTCAAAACTCTCCAAATAAAATTTCAAGGGAAATATAAAAACATTTGAGTTAGGGACGTTTGATTCAGAGATGCAAGCATTTTTGTTGGGGGAAACAAAGAAGAATCACAGGAAATTGTATTTGGTGATATTCTGGGACTTAAATTGTTTCTTAAATGAGTTGACATAGGAGCTGATCTTGGAGGCAAGGGTGCATTTGCCCAACTAGTCTTCCACTTCCTTTCAAAATACATCATGTTACTTTTAGTGCTTTTCTTTTTCCTGCGTCAAGAAAATAATGGCTAAAAGGTCTCAGAAAATTTGAGTCACGGAGGTTTGCAAGGAAAAACCTTTGAGTTAGATGGATTTTCAATGCATTGTTTTTGAGGGGATTTGAAAAAAAAAAAATCAACGTAGGGAGGTACAGTATTTGTCTTATGGAGGCTCAAGTTATTCAGGTTTAACTTTCGATCTCGTAAAAATTTGAAGGTTGTTAAGGAACATTTGAAAGATAAGATTCAGGTAATGCATACATGAAAATCTAAATTACAATTTTTATCTAAGGCATGTCCTAACAGTTGCCATTGTGCGAAGATTGAGTGGACATGGTAAAAATTCACTTTAAAATTTGAAAAACCTCAAGATGTCCGAGGTGAAAAACTCCAGGGCTTTTTTCGTCGAACAAGATATTTGTCTTGCTATTTTCCCCCTGATGAGATCTTCACATTTTCTTGTTCGAAAGGACAGTACACATCAGAGTTCCTCAAGTTATTATCGTCTGAGATAATCATGGCCTATGAACTTGAAGTCAATCAACCAATGTGAAAAGAGTCAGGAATGTCTATATAGTCCAATTATATGCGAAGATCGTGACATAATGACATCGTTTTCTAAAAATACAGCCCATTAGCTGGTATGCGGGGAGGAATGTCAGTTTGCACCGAGACTCAAATGAACTCTCTGCTTTTTTTTGATGGATCGTCTGCCACTGACAGACTTTCCGACAAGTTAGAATTTTTTAAAAACTGCTTTTGCAAGGAACAATTCACGCGAACTATAGACGCTCGTTGTCAAGTGGAAATATTATGAAAGAGAGCAGTGAGATTGGTGAGGAGTTTAGAGAGAGAGAGAGAGAAATAACATGCAAGTTTTCCATTCTCTTCTAATGCGATCATCTGGAGTAGCATTGCCATGACTGTCTCGATCAATCAGGGTTTCCTAGGGAGAAACAACCCCACAGCAGACAACAAGGCGCCTTTATCCTTGAAACGAAACCCGTCTTAAACTTGGGTCCATCTGAGTGTGGGTTGCCGCAGCTCTGTGTAGACTGCATGAACACCTGTTCATCACATGATTCACCTGCGAGTGCCAACAACATATCTTTCGATAAATTATATGTATATATATATATTTTCAAATAAGTTTTAATTGTTGATTATCTGTCATGACTCATGACTCATGACCCCGGCTTCGCATCGCGGAGAGAAACTTTTTTTGGAATCGAATTCCGTATTTTTAAATTTTGCTGATGGTACATTCGACCTAGAAACTGCCAGGTGTTCGTAAAGTAACATCCATCTTGTAGATTCAATGTTCAAATGATTCAATGTTCGGAAATATATGCAGGTTTTGTTCACGAGAAAATGTCTCGTTTTAAAATAAAAGAAGTTGGCACTGGCTTCAATAAGTGTCATGAAAGCTCGAAGTGAAAAATCGAGGTGAAATGACATTTTTCAAAATTTCTGAGCGGAACAAAAGGAAAAAAAAAGATGGATGATTCTACAATTGAGGTTTTGAATCTTTTTCTTGAGACGGGCAGATTTTTAAATATACATATTTTTCATTCTTGGGTTTCAAAGGATCGTCTCGAATCCCATCAATTGCTTTAGTTGCTACAATTATTCTTATATCTTGCTCTAAAACTCTATGATCGTTTTGTATTGCAGGAAGGTCACATGGAGATGATTTCGAGCTCTTCCGCGTCGGCAAATTGGCATCGAAGGGTTTGCAAATGTTTGCGGAACGCGGTGCATCGGAAGTGATCGACATTCAATCTCAGGGTTCTGGCGGGGTCTACGACGAATTCAATGCACCTCCGATCCCCCAGGGCGAAGGGAAATCTGTGGCCGAATTCTTTGTTGACGGAGCTCATCCGAAGGTATGGAAAGAGTTCAATAAGTTGCTGGAGTCATTTACAGTTTTGATTGAAAAATTCACATACCAAAACGCCTGCTATTCAAGTTATTGGAGAGATTATTCTGGAACATGAGTTTAAAATCCAAGTCATGGACAACGGAAAAATCAATCAGTAGGCAATCAGTTTAGGGAAGAGATTATTTATACCAGTGTTCCCCAACCTTTTTGGGCTTTCAGACTGGCAAATTTTAATGAAATCCTTTTCAGACTGGCATATTTTCATGAAATTTTCGGCAGACTAGCAACGTTCCGTAATATTTTTGATGACCATCCAGCAGAACATGTTGAAAATACCTGCCATACCATCCTCAGAACGAAACTTCTGCTGCAAAAATAAAGTTGAGAACCCATGAAGCGCAGCTATAAAATGGAAATGCATTAAAAACAATAGGATGCTGGGCTTGAAGAAAGGTTTCTCAGGTTGAAAACTGGAAGTAACATGTTTCAGCAGGTGAAAATATGTCTGAATTACTATTGTGAGAAAAACCAACAATTTATTTTTCATCAGATAATTTCAACTGCCATTGTCTGTAAAATTTTGGATTGCAATAACAGTTTTCCTTACTATTTCTAATAAATTTATTATGTGGAAGACATTTTTCCACTCTCTCTGCAATGTGCTGCTTCACAGCAAGATTTGCTGCAGAGCAGCAAATGTACGAAAAAAAGGCCACAGACCAGGGAAGTTTCATCAAATTTTTACAGACTCAATAAAATTTTGCTTGAAAGACTTCGTGGCAGGTACTTAAAAATTTCCACAATAAAAAGCAACAATAACGTTAAGAAGTGATGAAGCAGATGTGGGAAAACTTATTCAAAAAATTAGTAACAGTGCGCTTGAAGAAAGATTTTCCAGAATGAAAATTTGAAATAATTTATTTCATCAGGTGAAAATTGGTCTGAAGTGCGATTAGGAGAATGGTCAAAATGTATTTTTCATTTGATAATTTTGACTGCCATTCTCTTGCTGAAATTCCAGACACTGTAATGTCCTTAATTTCTAATTTTGCTGAATTTGTTTTGCTAGAGAAAATTCCCGGCGAACCAGTGAAGAACGTCTGCGGACCAACGCTGGTCCGCGGACCACGGGTTAGGGAACACTGATTTATACAATGCGTCTCACATAATGCGCAGTTTCTAAAATGAGTTCTAAAATTTATTCAATAAATACTGCACTATAATCTATACTTTATTTCCAATGAAGCAGGATGTAAAGTTCAATTGAATAAAAGCTCGTGATTGAAAATTTTTCGTTTCAATAAACCCATGCCTCCACTGTTCTGCATTCTTGACCACCTGTCTGTCTTCTACGAGGAGTGTCAAACGCAGAAAGAATATTAGAAGGTGACTCAACAGAAAGTGTAATTGTTGAAGTAGTGCTCATTACACATTTCTTCCCCAGGTCTCAATAGTTTCCCGAATGGTTCCTTCGCCCGACTGGTTTATCGGAGTCGACAGCTTCGACCTTTGCCCTCATGGACAATGGCTGGACAATTTCACCGTCAACGTGAGTCGTTCGTCTATGTTCCGAATAATTTCAGGGAATAATCCTTGAAGCAACGAAAACAAAAATAAAACTTCTACCCAGTCACGGTTATCTTTTAGGACTTCCTTTCCCGAGGAAACATGATCCGTTTTCACAGCCAGGAAAAACACCGCGGTATATTTTGAGAAAAGAAACCGATCGTCATTTGATCTTTGTTCTGCTGTTAGTTGATCAGTAACCGACAAACCACGTGTAGAAACTCGAATATTCCGGTGAATGACCGGATGCCTCTGCTCAGATAATCCAGTATACATTCCCGATGATCAAAAAGGAAAAAAAAATTAAGGAAATAATTATTCAACAATTTTATAACGATTTGTGGAGGTATCACGGAACGAGACAGTGTTCATACGATCTTATAACTTGTCTTGAAGAAGTCCGTGAGTTGACCAAATTTTGTGATCTCCTTGCTTCTTCCCGAAAATATTTTTTACTGCCATTTTGGTCTTGGTTATTCGGGAATTGACAGCAAGTTTATGCGAGGGAATTTGAATTTACTGAATCAAAATTATCTGCGCTGTCCAGTTTCTTCAGGCCGATGTCACTTGGATGAGCACAGTTGCCAAATCGTGTGGTTATTCAAAGCCCGGGTTGTAAAACGTTTGCTGCAATTCTCATGTGATCGTATAATTTTAAGAAGGAAAAAAAAAGACAACAAGAAGGCAGATTTTGCAGAAAAAGTTGTTACTGCTGCATCGTCACGCGATTTTACCTTGCCCCCGATTTTCAGTCGACCTCAAACAACCAACCAACTGATGTTGCTAGCCGTGAACTACTTCACGAGCCGTTCTTCACACCTCCGTTGTCTCAACAAAAACACCTTTCAGCTGCACCCGACCCCGAAATGAAACACAAACAATGCTGGCCAAAGAGGAAGTGTGTAGCAAAACGTGTCGCGACATGTAGTCCACGACTGACTGCTTCAAAACCGATCCCTCACGTTCTGAGCGGATCTTTTGCGAATCACCTCCCCGAAAATCTTTTTTTTTTTTGGTGGTTTAAAATTTCAAAGTCAAGTTTCGACATGCATGGTCAAAGGTCCTATACTTAACATCAATGCATTCGTTTTTGAATACAGTATCTGCAGTTTTTCAAAAATTGCGTTTTCTTGAAGACATTTTTGAGAATGGAATATCTTCATTAATTTTTCCCCCGCGAGCGGAATATGATTTACGTTCAAGGTCTATTTCTAGTCTATTTCTAGGCGAATAAAAAAAAATTCACGAGTTAAAGGGTAAATATGTTTTCCTTTGAACATATTAAAAATACAGTAATTTTAATCTCGAGGTGACGCATTAAACGAACATCAATGAAGATTCAGAGATCAAGAGTAAGTGATGACCTAGGAAGATTATTTTAAATTCAGAGTGAACATTGTTTTTGTCTTGAAAATGTCTGTTTTGTGAACAATATTGACATCAGTGCATGAATAGAATGTAAATTGCACGCCTATATTGCTGCGAGCCTCATGTGAAACAAACAATGGAATCAGAAGGATGAGAAAATATTTAAGCTGAATTTTTTTATGATTACATTAAGTACGCTTCTATTTTTTTGTGTCCTGTATGTTTTGTGAAGAATTACTTTACTGGGCCAATTTTTGTGTCTTGTTTTCGACACAATTTATTGGCTCTTCCCAAAGTTTTTGAGACTTCGGGATTATATTTCTGAAAGGCGCGCCAAAAGATAAAAAAAAATTGTACATTTTTTATTTATTTGAAGAGTCATTTTCCAGTAAACATTTTGTGAAAAATAAGGAGTAAACCAATGATGGCTTTTTCTATTAAATTTGGGTTGCTGAAAAAACTATGTCACGCTAAAACAGTGCAATACAGTACTGTGTTTCAGGCTGATAAAATATTGGTTTTTTTCTTTTTCAGAAATTTTTCTTACCCCTTGGAATTTCGTTTAGAAAAATAAATAGCGAGGCTTTTCAAACCGGAATTTAATGGAAACCTTTGTTTGACCTCATCCCTATCTTTATTGCACCAGTAGCATCGCATTACAGGATGAGTCATCAGCCTATCCTATTTGCGGAACTGATATTTATGTCATCAAGTATTTTGTTCATCTGAACTTTCAATGTAATTTTTTCGACTTTGATAGTCATACTCCAGTGATCATCGCGTCCAAAACGGCGAGGGGAAATATTAGTGTAGTTTCCTTATCATTGCATTTTTGCTCTTGAGAAAAACATCATTGATTGCTCGCCTACATGCTAAATTACTGATCTAATCTAACTTCATCTTAAAATTTATCGTCAAAAATGAAACAAAAAAGAGCGAAACTTCTCAACCCGAAGGTGGAACCATTTCACTGCTCCTGTTTTCGCCTGTACAGTATATCTTCATTCGACAAGTCGCTTCCCCGAAAATGAGTCACCGACCGAGTTTCCTCCTTTATTTCATTTGTTTTTTTCCTTCTTCCCCAAGTCAGTCTCGTCACACACACACACACACACACACACACACACACTGTTGACTGTTCGGATTGTCGTGATACGGTGTCGGACGGTTTTGAGAGCTCCGTATCGTCAGCGGCGGGTGTCGCACTCAGATTTCCGCGTCTGCTTTCGCGCCGGATTACGTGTCGCGTAGTGACAGCGCGCGACAGCGCGTTTTTCGCCGGTCGCGCGGCGTGTTCAGCGCTGAAAACTCGCATTGTCACATCCTCCCATTCCTTGTACAGTATTTGCGTAGTCTCTCTCTCTCTCTCTAAGATGTAGCCTAAGTAGGTATCTTTTCATTTGACTGGATGGAACAGAAGGAGGCATTATGCTGAAATTTAAAATAGGCCAGAGGAAACACGAGACGTATTCTGTCAGTGCGCGTTACCCAACCTTTTTGGGCCTGCAGACTGGCAAATTTCCATAGAATTTCTCATTTACCATAACATTTCCATAAACTTGTTTGAGGGCCAACAAGTTAAAAAAAATCTGCAGACTGGCAAAGGTTCATGAAACTTCCGCGGACTCAAAAAGTTTTGTTTGAAAGATACGTTTCTCCCCCCCCCCCCCAAATGAACTCACCCAATGAAGCAGCTGTAGTGGATTTTCTTTGAAAAAATTAGAAAGGTGGGCTGGAAAAAAGTTTTTCAGAAGGAGCATTTAAAATAATTTATCTCACCAGGTGCACATTTAGCTGAAGTGTTACTAATTGCCAACTTTTATTTATCAGATAATTACAACTGCCATTTTGATTCCAAAATGTAAGATAAAGATGAAAGGCTTCATTTCTACGTTCGACAAATTTATCACACTGAAGGCAATTTTGGTGGACCAGCAAACAACTTCTGTTGACTCTGGAACTGGTCCACGGACCTCGGTTGAGGACTATTTTATGAAATTAATTGTTCCCCACTTTTTTTTCACTGATGGACTCGTGTTTTGAATGAATATACTCGTATAATTACACACATTTTTGATCAGCATGATGGGAAACGAGATACTCTTGAAAAGCATGCACGAGGGTAATACAATGATCGAGATAATTCGGGATAATGCATCGAGTGTTGCGGAAAATGAAGAGATACAGTATCAATAAATTGACATCACGGTCTTTGTCAAGAAGTTTTCTCGAGTCATCTAGAAAAATTGGCTGCTCACCCAAATATTCTTGCTTATGAAGCCCTGTAGAGTACGAAAATCGGAAGATGTCCCATTTCTAATTGAAAATTTTATTTAATTTTTCAACTTTCCAAGCTAAGGCAACCAATTGCTAGCCATATGGTATTCGAGGGTTTACTTCAGTAAATGTCTGATTGATCTTTTGATTTGCTGTTTTTTCCCTTCACGGAGAGATTTTTTTCAAAGAATAACTCGAAGAACATTTGAAGTTTAACTGAACTTTTCATCCCTCATTGAGCTGTTTAACTACAGTATGTTTTTTTTTATTCTTTTCTCTCAAGCAAACGATTGAAAAAAATCAGTTAAGAATTCAAATTGCCGGAAACGGATGAAAATTTCATTCGCCTTCACCAATTACCGTGGAAATTTTCAATAAAAGCAGCCGAACTTCAATCGGTGTGGAATGATTCAGACTTTCAGTCCGGAAACCCCCAAAATTTTGCTCTGCATTCACTGACCAAGAAGAGGCTACAAACTTGGGCCTGTTTGAAAGATCACTTGTTTCTCGCTGCGTCTAATAATACAACAGAGCAGTATTATTTACAGCCCTTGTATTTCCTGCTTTGCGAATAAAATCGGTTAAACAAGGTCGTTAAATACTTTTTAATGCGCCCAAAATGCGCTTGTAAATCTTAAATTCTACCCGAACCTGCTTAAAAATTAAACTGAAGCCTGAAAAAAATCCCTAAGAAACGAAAACTTCGAAAAATGGCCTCGTCCTCCTCTATTAGTCTAGAACGGGAAGACAAACGGATGACGCATGTATGATGATTTGGAGACTTCGGTTTAGGTCAAGATGAGTGTTTAAAATAACAGAGTTTATAACTAGCAGTGTTGTGAGCTGAAGGAGTCGGAAAATGCGGTTGCAATGCCAGGAATGCGCGAAGGTGGTTAGCTTTGGGTCAGCGCCAAACATTTGCTCGTGTCCGACGCCGTCTGCGACCACCGAAAAACGCTTTAGACTTCGTTACCGAGTCATTTACGCACACGTAATCCACCACATGCAAAAAAAGAGAAATAATTCAACACGAAGAAAATGTGCGCAAGCAAACAGCTGACGAATATTTCGGAGCTTAGTCATGATTTAGGTACTTCTATCAATTATTAGCTGTTACGTGTCCGTGAAAAAAAAAATTCGAAAAATTCGTCAATTTAGGCAATCTGTTCTTAAAACTGATTTTACGGCTTCCACTTTTATTTCAGAAAATGAATAATGAGATGATTTTATCTGTCATGCTTATTTTGACAAACGTTTCTCTTGTTATTTCCATCATCCTGAAATAAATTTTAATTTTAGTGTCGTTTATTAGAAATGTCTGTTTGGCACTCACTCGGCAAAACATAAATGCAAACTCATCACGTTGAACAAATTGATAAACATTGATTATTCTCTTCCTCTTTGTTTGAAAATTATCTTTTCTCTCTCTGGCCTCATCGAGAAAAGTACATTACTTGACTAAACAAATTGCAATGCCTGGAGGGAACCAGACAAATTCCAATATTTAATACTAAATGTCAACCGTCCAAGTAATTACTTTTACAGCACATTATGCTGTATTGAAGCTCAATTTATTCTCCTTGTTATATTCGATGGTCTTAATTTAGGGGTTATGTCAAGAGCAAACGTTTGAACACAATTGTAGCGGAAATACAATTTCAAGGTCAATTTTTATTACATTTGAAGTGGTTTGTGTTCTTCTCAATGCTTTTGACACGCGTGACTTTAAACAACTTGCGAAGAGCCAGGCATCATGCGAAAATTTGACGATGCATAGAATAATTCAATTAATCGAATAACCCCAAACTTTTAATCGATGTTCAATTATCAAGTCAACTATGGTTACCACTACATAATTTCAATTTGAGCAACAAAATCACTCAAAATCAGCTGAAATGAATTTATAAATCCACGGTGAATTGCAATCAGCTATAAGAGAAGTGGCAGGAAGCTTGCTCTTGAACAAAATGTACAATTTTATGAGTAACAAATTTCAAAACATCCCACATATTTTTTATCAGATTGTTTTTCTCCAAAACTTGGCGATTTTTAGGGAAACACATTTTTGTTGTGGGAAAGATTGAACAGTTGCAGTAAATTGTATATGGTAATATTCTGGGTCTCAAATTGCTTCTTAAATGAGTTGACAGGATTATTAACTTAGAGGCAAGGGTTCGTTTGCTCAATTAATCTTTCACTTACTTACAAAACACATCTTTACCGTATTTTTTGCTTTTCTCTTTCCTTTGCCAAGAAAATGCTAGCCTAAAGGTCTCAGAAAATTTGAGCCATGGACAGTTTGAGAGGAAAAACCATGGATCTAGAGAGGTTTCTATTGCATTGTTTTCAAGGGAATTCAGAAGGGGACTACAAAAATTAGAATTAGAGACGTATTAGACTTCTAGGGAGGCTTGAGTTATTGATGTTCAACTGTGATTATGCGTTTCTTCCATTTTTTCAATTATCAGTGGTATTGATCGTACGACTTATGACGTCGACAGTCATTATCCTGTATATAATTAAGGTTCTAATTACGCCAGTTCCATCGTGGGCGACGGACCAAGTTCGAACATGTTGCATTGCATGCCCTCATCGGAACTGGCTTTCGAAGCTAAAAATAAAATAAAAAAGAAAGAAAAAGAGCGTCGAATGAGGCTCAAGTAGAATGGATTCTCATTATCCCACTTTTCTCGTTCCAGGTTGATCCTCTGGACGCTGGAACGGACAAGGGATTAACATTCAGTTCGCCGAATTGGGCAGAGGAGCCGAATGTTCCGATCACGGTCATGACTTCCTCGTTGCCGGCTCATCCCGCTGCTTCCTTCAACTATCCAGACAAGAAGAAACTGCCTCCAATTGCCGCCTTCACATTCCTGAGGGTGAGACGAATGATGGGAATGATCTGTGAATCACCTTTCGTGATCATTCCTAAATCGTATGCAGATTCCGACCACTATCTGCAGCAGGCTTTCCGAAAATGCTAGACCGCCATGCAGAACATAGCTCATATTTTTTTTCCATATTCTCTTAATTTTATTTCTCGGAGTCTCAGCAGCAGTGCTTCGAAGATGATGGAAATTTATTCTTCTCGAGTGACTCATTGGCCTGCGCGAGAAACGATCAATCACATTTATGAGGCAAGGTTCATGGGCGGAAACCCGCGTAAACGAGCGTATTAGACACTTGGCTTTCCCGAGAAAATCCTGTAGTATTTGATTGATTGCTGGTACTAATGAGCTCTGTCGGCAGTGGGTAGGAACACCACATATACTGTACTGTATTTACTCAACAGTAATTAATAGGGCGCACCCTGATTTTTGAGCATCCCTCTACAGGAGAAATAAGTCCGTGTATAGGCCGCGTGAAGAATGGAAACTTATGAACATGATGCGACCTATGCGTTAGTAAAGAGAGGAATCATGTTTGGTATGTTAAATGTTTTAAATCAGTGATCTGGAACCTTTCTGAGTCTGCAGACCGGCACATTTCTAAAAAAAAAAATTTGAGGACCAGAAAATTTCCACAAAAAAAATGTCTGCGGACCAGCAAAGTTATATAAAATGTGTGCAGACTCAAAAAAGCTTTGTTTTGAAAATTTCATGGCAGTTATTTTAAAAGTGTCTGATTTTCTGCAAAAAGTAAGTTGAGAACCAATGAAGCAGCTATGGTCCACCATGGAATGTTAAGTTGGAGGCCGTTAAACTGGTAGGGTATTAAACTACAAACTTAAACATCCCTCCACCTACACGATAAACTGGAGACGAGGTCCTAATCTGGACGAAACCAGTGATAAACTTCCTTTTTGTGCTGATATTTCTCAATTTTACAAAGTGTCTTGCAATTTGACCCCATTAGTCTCGCAATGGATTAAATTGAATTTTAAGATACCACCTGTAGCAGTGAAATTTCTTCAAAAAATTTGAAAGGTAGACTTTAAGGCAGGTTTATCAAAATGAAAAATTGAAATGATGCATTTCAGCAAGCACAAATTTGTCTAAAGCATCATCACAAGAAAAGCTTACTTCTTTTTTTCATCAGATTAATCCAACTGCCATCATCTTGCCAAATTTCAGTTGAAATATTGTCTGAACTAACGATAAAAACTATGTAAATAATACGACTTCTTTTAAAGGTCGTCTGACCTTTTTTTAACATACGTTTGACCGCGGCCAAGTGTTTGGTACCCATTGTGACACAACTTAGTAGTAGATTTTTTAGCATAAGTAAAAAATTCGAATGCAGCAAGGTATTTTAAGAAAAAATAGAGCATATTTCTTCACTTCAATAAAATGCGGCTCATCTAAACACTGTATTCTGGGTTTATCAGAGCTGCAACAAATAAGGTCGAAGATATATGGTAAAAGATTGAAATCTAATTAGGACCCTGCTTTTTCATTTTCGCTCATTTTGAGAATAATTCAATTGATGGACGATGTGTTGGTGAAAATGGTCTGTGATTACTTCCGCGATTAATCAATAAAATTTTTGAGACAGTCTCCACAATAAATCAAGTCCATATTACGCTCGCTATAATCGTTGGGAAGGTACTGGTTGTCCAACAAATCACGGAAGAAATCGACCCTGACGGTTAAAATACCTATATTACTATAATAATGAAAAATGGAATGGAGATTCTTGTTCCAGGTGTTTCTCCAACAGCGTAGCCAGAGACAAGATGGATTTATTTTTCAGTGAACAGAAATAGCTGAATTTGGCGAAGAAAGTTTATCGCACAGAACCACAGATCCATTTTCAAAATTGTTCGCGGGGAATCTTTAGCCAGTCTCGAAAATATTGCAGAAAAATGTCGAGGTATCTCGTTATGAACTAAAATACATTTAAACAATATTGACGGCGTGCTAATTATACAGACACGAGTGTCCAACTAGGACAGCCGAAATAGAAAACTAGTCGGTATTTTAAAAATTCAAAAACTAGAAATAAATTTTCTCAGCTGTTAAAAAAAAAGAAAAAGCGATACCAATACAGTCATGCCATTATAACTATAAAAATTGACAGTCGAAAGAAAATTTGATGATTTTCACGCGATATTACGTATCATCGTACCTGTGTGAAACCTTTGAATACTTTTTGAGAGGCCGCTGTTTCTTCAAAATTTGTCTTTACTTATTAGGAACACTTCTACATTTTTTCTAGTTCAGTGTTTTTTGAAAGCTATTGAAGTTCTGCCAATTATAAAGCGATCTTTTCGAATTCTCTCTCCGTTTTCCGTGAAGCAAACCTACCATTTTCTTGTTTTGACCACTGACAACGGAGAATAGTGAAGTTGTTAAATAATTCTCGCGGGTTTCCACTTTTGGAGGGCCTGCTTGAAACCACTCTGTAAATGTTAGATGTCATTTTTGAGCTGTCAAACGTGTAAGTTTTGAGAGGCCCAGAGGTTTTACACAAGCTTTCGTTATAACAGACTTGATTGCTATTTTTGATACATTTATTATGCTGAAGAAAATTTCCAGCAGACTGGAAAAAAATTGTATGCAAACTGGCGCCGGTTCACAAACCATGGGTAACACTGTGTTGAATCATCCCGATTTTTTAGCATAAGTAAAATATTCGAATGCAGCAGCAAGGTATTTCAAGAAAAAATCAAGCATTTTTCTTCACTTCAATAAAATACGGCTCATCTAAACACTGTATTCTGGGTTTATCAGAGCTGCAACAAATAAGGTCGAAGAGGTATGGTAAAAGATTGAAATCTAATTAGGACCCTGTTTTTTCATTTTCGCTCATTTTGAGAATAATTCAATTGATGGACGATGTGTTGGTGAAAATGGTCTGTGATCACTTTCGCGATTAATCAATGGAACGTTTGAGGCAGTCTCCACAATAAATCAAGTCCATATTACGCTCGCTATAATCGTTGGGAAGGTACTGGTTGTCAAACAAATAACGAAAGAAATCGACCCTGACGGCTACAATACATATATTACTATAATAATGAAAAATGGAATGGAGATTCTTGTTCCAGGTGTTTCTCCAACAGCGTTGGCAGAAACAAGGTGGATTTATTTTTCAGCGAGCAGAAATAGCTGAATTTGGCGAAGAAAGTTTATCGCACAGAACCACAGATCCATTTTCAAAATTGTTCGCGGGAAATCTTTAGCCAGTCTCGAAAAAATTGCAGAAAAATGTCTGATTCTTTCCAAAACCCTTCAGATATCTCCTTATGAACTAAAATACATTTAAACAATATTGACGGCGTGCTAATTATACAGACACGAGTGTCCAACTAGGACAGCCGAAATAGAAAACTAGTCGGTATTTTAAAAATTCAAAAACTAGAAATAAATTTTCTCAGCTGTTAAAAAAAAGAAAAAGCGATACCAATACAGTCATGCCATTATAACTATAAAAATTGACAGTCGAAAGGAAATTTGATGATTTTCACGCGATATTACGTATCATCGTACCTGTGTGAAACCTTTGAATACTTTTTGAGAGGCCGCTGTTTCTTCAAAATTTGTCTTTACTTATTAGGAACCCTTCTACATTGTTTCTAGTTCAGTGCTTTTTAAAAGCTATTGAAGTTTTGCCAATTATAAAGCAATCGTTTCGAATTCTCTCTCCGTTTTCTGTGAAGCAAACCTACCATTTTCTTGTTTTGACCACTGACAACGGAGAATAGTGAAGTATTTCTTATTAAGAGCGCCCAAAGGTGAAAACCTCCCGGACGAACTTTGGTGAGACATTTACAATCTACAGTAAAAACTCGACAGTTTGCACATTCAAAACTCTCCGGGTCTCCAAAATGTGTTCGAAAGCATGCTCTCTTAAGCATGCGTAGGAGGCAGCATTTTCTCAACAAGGAAGAAACTCCTGCCGGAGTTCCATTCGAAAAAAAAATCACTGCTCATCAGGAAATCATCAGTTGTCAAAAATTCATTTTTCTCTCCCAAAAAAAATTATACCGAACTTGGGTTTTGTCTCTTTCGTTCGAATTCAAACGCTCGGGGGATACAATAAGATAAAATTTAACCTACAAACGCGAATAATTTCCAAAGTTGATTAATTGAGCTCGAATTTTAAAGGTATTTATTATGTAATGACTGAAAAGGTTCCGGTTACATCACAGCTTATTAAAGATTGGTCTACCATTTTTGATTCTTCCTGTGTGCTCCTAGTTTAGTTTCCTTATCAGCGCTATTGATTCGATGGAACGGATTACACGACACCATGTCGATGATAATCCTCAGAAATAATGCCTGCATCTCCGTTCGAACTCGCGGTTCTTGAGCCGGGGATAAAATAAGATCAAAGACACTTTATTTTGAAACAATTCGTGTGTAGGTGAAGGAGTACGAGCTGAGCCAGGTGTTCACCCAGGACGAGATCGAGGACAAAGAACTTGCCAAAGTGCTTTCGTCGACGAATTCCAGAGACACCCCGATGCCCAGGTTCTTTTTAGGGTCGATGAGTTTACCTATGAAGTCCATGTTGCACAAAAGTAGCTGGTGCCTTAGCCTACTTGGCCTTGGGCCCTATGTCCACGCAGATTGGGTGTTCTTTTTTTAATAATAAACCCAACTAGGCATTCTATAAAGACCTTATTTCAAAAGTTTGTGTAAACAATTCTAACAAATTCATGAAGCACAGTTTCAAAAATTAAAATACTATTAGAAACAATTTGATCAGTGGCAGCATGAAAAAAAAAACAGTGGTTGGTTTTTCCACTTGAAGTGCGTGGAACTAGGATAGAAAACCTGCATTCTGCTGCCAAAGGTTTCCATTTATTTTCCTCACAATAATTTTGGCAAACGCATTGCAAAAATAATTTGAAAATACAAGTACAGTATTTTATTTTTATTTTGTAAGCCTAACTGCTTAAAACTCATTCGAAAGCAAGAACGATCCTTACAGTTATAAACACTATCAACTTCTTGAGGGAGCCCTTGGACAATTTCTTATGAGGGTTATTATTTTCAAGTTTCAAACCAGAAATACGAACAAGCCCATGAGATTATGCATCGTTTGAAAAATTATTTAATGCTCTTCAACCAACTTGATTCATTAAACTGTCCAGGGGATGTCTCATTTTATTTTTATATTCTGGAAATATATATTCTGGTACGTCCTGTATTAAATCAGTGTCAATTTCTCAGGTGTTTTATTATTTTCAAGTTTCAAGCCAGAAATTCGAACGAGCCGTTGAGATTAGGCATCGTTTGAAAAAGTATTTAAAGCTCGTCAACCGAATTTGTTCATTTAACGGTCCAGGATATGTCTCATGTTATTTCTATGGACTGGCCGATTGTATTCTGGGGCACCCTATATTAAATCGGTATCAATTTATCGTGTGGGTTATTACTGTAATTTCAAGTTTCAAACCAGAAATACGAACAAGCCCATGAGATTAAGCATCGTTTGAGAAATTATTTTCTGGGCCCGTCAATCTAATTCGTTTCTTAAACTGCCCAGGAGATGTCTCATGTTATTTTTATTGACTGGCCAATTTTATATTCTGGTACACCCTGTATAAAACCGGTGTCAATGTGTTCCATTCCTTGCCAAGCAGTTTGGTCTTAATTCCCGTGGCATAAAAGGCTTTCCCGTTACATTAATGTCTTCTAATTTGTAATTCACAGTTGCTGGATGGGACTCAAGCGAATAATCCCGAGCCTGTGACGATGCGCCAGATGGTTCCGCAGCAGAAGAAAATCCCAGCCATGTACGATTTCGGCACGGGTTCGATCCCAGCTCAGAAACCCACACCGGAATCATCGCCCATTCAAGACGCAACCCCGAAACCGACTCCTGTGTTGTCTGGTGACAGTCACGTCAAAGTGGAGCCCGAATGGGAACGGGGATCCTTGTTCATCAGTTCGCCGAAACCGACAACACGAAGCGTTGCTGTCGTGAAAGACGAGAATATTGTCGTCACCGGGAAACCGATTGCGGAAAAATTTGCAATGAACAATGAGGAGAACGAAATAAGCTCTGCCGTTCCTGGAGGCTTGAAACTGCGCAAACACCGGAAGGGAAATCGGCAGCGTCACCGTAAGACTCGAATGCCGACGACGAATTCAGTCGTGACGCTTACAATTTTGGAACGATCCAACTTGTATTCCTATTATCGTATAAAATTTACTCTCATCAACTAGCATTGAGTGTGAAGACCAGCAAATTTAACGAAGAGCGATTCCTCGAAATTGACGAAGGGTTGAAATGATGGGGAATGATGGAGTATTTTATGCGGTTTCTAAATTTCCTTTCCTGGTGCAGATGTTTCAATAACTCGAAATTTCTCCTTAAAAAAATTCGAATACCTCCCTATGTCGCATTTTTTCAAGTCCCTTTCCGAATTTTAAAAGAAACAATAATGGATTAAAAACCTCCTTAATTCAAAGACTTGCCACTCAAACCTCAATATTTCGGATTTTCTGAGGGACTTTTGGCTATTATTTTATACAGGAAAGAGAAAATAAAAGCAACGTTACCTGATGTGTTTTGGAAGGAAGTGAAAGACTAATTTGGCAAATTAATTCTTTCTTCGAAGTTTAACCTCTTATCAATTTGTTTAAGAAACAATTTAGAGGACAAAAAATCACCAACTAAAATTTAACTAAAATTTTCTGTAATTCGTCTTTGTTTCCCCCAACGAAAATATTTGTTTCTCCAGCTAGAAAACTGTCTTACTCAAATTTTTCTGTTGATCTTTTGAAGTTCAACTGAACGAGTTTGACTGTACTGGTAACACTGACATCTGAAGGGTAGAAAAACAAAATGTGAACCGAATTCCAATACTGCCATCAATTCCTATCCCGGATGCAAATATAAATGATGTCTACGAATATTACCTCATTTTCATGCATGACTAAATTCAAATGTTGGTCTTGTTTTTGCGTAGGTATGATCCGCAGAAACCTGAAAAAAATGACCCAGTGAGAAAATAGTCACGCATCTTGAAAAAAAAAAGATATCGTATTTGCTTGATGACTGTCTTACTTTTTGGCGCGTGCGAATTATTCTCCAGCAGCTATTGAAATCATGCCTCAAAGCTCAAACTTTTCGAAATTTTTCTTGAATTTTTTTTACTGTTGTCAATGTGATAATGGGAAATATTTGTTTCACTGTTAACAAACTGCGGATTTTCTGTCTTAGTTTTACGCGTCTTTAGTGATGGAAAACAAAGCACCTGAGGTGATTTTTGCAGTTATCTCGATCAGGCAGTCGGAGGAAACGGTTAATTGGAAGCAAAAAATTTCAAGATAAATTTCGATCGTTCAAATATTACTGCTCTTTAAATAATCTCGGGAAATTTTGTCTCTCTACAGGCAAGCCCAGGGATTGCAAAGTCAGTGAATGGAGTGAATGGTCAGTGTGCAGCAAACCATGTGGTGTCGGCGAAATGGCGAGAACTCGTCAGGTCTTGAAGCACCCGCGTCGAGGTGGCAAAGAATGCCCTCCACTCACCGAGAAGAAATTCTGCGGAAATTTCAGAACCTGTTACAAGAGACGCTATTTCAACTGGGCTCGATGAAAAATGATACAGGGAATTGTTTTTTTCTCTTTTTTGCGAGAAGAAACGGTTCTTCCTTTTTTGCAGCATTTTTTTTTTCTTCTGTGAATGCAGGATGCGTTCTGACTCTGAAAGAGCCGAAGAAATATTAGACGAAGCCTGAGATGTCACTTAGCGTTTCTCAGGAAACAATGGTTTGATTGTGTTACGTGTGAAGTAGAAAACGATTGATTTTACATTGTTTTTTGTACGATTTGCCTCGGATATTTAATGTCTCGGGCCATTATTAATCAAGGTTTTGTCATACGAGTATACTGCTGTACTGTACATTATCAAGTTTTTCACGCAAAGAAAGCGAATCGTTGTCGGTCTTCCATCGAAGATGAGACTCTTGCTGACAATCACTGCCTTTAACAGGAAATCGAAAGTACGCTTTCTTTTTTTTTCGACATACCTTAATCAGTTACAGCAAATTTTATTCTGCCAGTATTCAGCACTGTGATACCGGCGCTAATTGGCAAAAATTCGTTTTTTCGGGATCCTGTGAAATTGGTTGATGAACGTGTGATTGTTTTTGGATGGAATTACGTTTTTATTCCGCCACTGTTAACTTTCGGCGCATCAGTGAAGACGAAATACTGTAGGTGCCAAAAAGCGTGAGACTAGAATTAATCGGTTGGAAGTCCTGAAACTCATCGTGATGAAGTTTTTGGAGGGCGCAGGGGCAAATTTTTGCGATTTAAAGCTGAACCTGAGAAAAATGAATATTGTTTTGTTATTTAATTGGACGAATAAAAAACCGAATTCAAAATACAACTACAGTATTGTTCTTCAATGTCCTTATTCAAGAGTGATTTGAAAATCCTCTCGCAAGTTTCCCACGAAGTGAAGATGCGTCTCGAACTTTTGAATCATCCAGAGAAATTTGCATTATTTTCATTATTTTGAAGAATTCATACTCTTTCAAATTAATGAGGTCGATGATATCCAGTAGAAATTCGTCGAAACGAATGTCATAACGAATTCATGCTTACAATGAATTTTTTTTCACTCCCTGTCAAATGTAGCCACAATAAATATTATCTCAATTTAGTTTTAACAGATTTTTGTTCATGTAACGAATCGTTTGGGTGACCTTTCATTCATCAAAATTATAAAAATAAAAGTAATCCTCTAAAAAAGAGCTCTTATGGAAATTTTTTTACGAGGTTGAGGACAACATTGGATGAATATAATTCTAAAAAAAAAAATCCGAGATATGGGTTTCTGATATAACAGTTCAAGTGAATGCTTAAGAGACATCCTAGCAGTCAAAGCAAAGATTTTTAAATAGTCCATTCACTTTGAAAGATTAGGGTTGAAAATTGGGACTGAAGGATTTTCACTTTCAAAAAATCAAGACGCACTCGAAATATGCATAGAAAATGTTTTTGGCAGTTCCTCCCATTAATTTTCTTTTGAAGTCAAACAATTTCCCTTGATTAAGACTAATTAATTTTAGATTATTCCACAGCAATTGTTGAACACCTCCGATGACGGCTTGTGGGTGAATGGCAAAAATAAGTATGAGAACCTCTCCTGCATGGGTGATGAAAGTTCGATTTTACAAATGAATATTCAAGTTTTTTCTTTTCATTTTTCACACCAAACTTTTCCTCAGGAACGTGTCGCACACATCAAACAGCTCTCGAAAACACCGAATACGGTACATCACAATCATAAAATTCGTCTCAATCGCACATTCAAGCTTCCTCGTTGCAGATTTATGCCCAAATTTTTGAATCACAATCCCATCAATTCCTTTTATACCGGGATCTCTTATCCAAACTTTCGATCTCGTGAGAACATCTATTTCTAACCACATTGAAATTGAGATTATTTCTTGTGTACTTTGGTTTCACGGTGGAGTCGTGAACGATCAAAGATTTTTTTGGTGGACATTTATAGATCGACTCAGCCATAAACTGGCTGGTTCTTCTCACGAAGGAAAAAGGCTCAAAATACAAATTTTTTTCGAGGCTCTTTCAGGTACTCAACTTGCGAGCAAAAGAGAGAAGCAAAAAAATCCGCACAATGGAATAAATACTTTAAGCAATATTTCACATAAAATTTGAACCCCAACAGTTCCACGAATTGCGGCTCTCTTCCGAAGTTGCCCAATAAAAATCCAACTCCGAGGGGTAACTTCTGCATTCGACTCACAACGAAGTGAAATTTGATAAAATTTACAAAAGAAACGAAACTAACTCGATCTAAAAACCTGAACATTTTTCCATATCACAAAAAACGGCTCGTGCTTCAATCAGACTTTTTGGGAACCTTGGCGATTTTCTTTTTCCAGTTCCCAAACGGCTTTTGAATGAAGCCCGTCATGGACCAAAAAAAAAAAAGAGTCCCGAGTCTTACTTTACAATTGGATGTTTCTTGCAAGTTGCTGAAACGTGCTTCGCATTTGTTTTGCACAAAGCTTTTTTGGTCCAAGAGTAGAAAAAAAGGGTGAGATCTGTTTTTTGATGGCTTGAAACGGATTCCAATCTTTTATGGACAGTTGCATTTTTTCTTCTTTTTTTTCTTCTTTCAATTTAGGCACCTTCTCGGGGTCTCCAAAGCACATCACGTTCATCGTTCGGAAATGTTTGAATTGCTGCTCGAGTCGTGAGAAGTTCGTCAGGGAATTTCAAACCATCTTTTTTTCAACGTTTTTCTCATTTCCTTGGAATGGACAGCAAAAAAAAATGAAGAAAAAATAAAAATGTCAATTACAGAATCCCGCAAGTACGAGATGCATGAGAAAAAGCGTTGTGCGATGCGTGCTGCATGCTTCGGTCTTGTCCGTTGCCATTCACGTTGTAATGCCGGTGCTTCTGGTGGTGGTGCTTGTGGTGCTTCCGCCCCGCGCAACACGGAAGTGGTCCCTTGCTGGCATCATACGGCACCAGCGCCGCAAACTGGGCGCCATCCATGTCCGCTGGGTACGGCGGGTACAAAACTGCTCCGACACTAGTGGCGTAGGCCTTGGGCAGGATGCAAGGAAGGTACTTGGTCGCATCCGGCCCCCCTGCGCCACCCATGGTACCATCGCCGCCACCGCCTCCAGCAGGCAACAACTGGATCTTGATGCCACCGTCTGACTGTCCCGGGGGTCCTCCGAGGTCGACCTGGACCCCGGCGTCGGTTTGTTCTATGAATCTTTGTTCTGCGATTGGAGGAGGCAGGGCTGCAGGTAAGCGGCGGGTCGGGGTTCGGTGGCCTCTGGTCGTGATGACGGCGGGTTCGATTTGCACAGTCGGTGTGGAGGCGGAACGGGGACGATGGAGCCCGGTGGCGGAGGGACGCCCCGGGGCGAGGATCCCGGCCGACGTTGGTCGCTGAACGAGAGACGGCGAGGGTGTGGGGGTCCGCGGAGCCCCGGCATTATTCCCCACCTTCAGTTCGTCCATCGTGTCTAAAAGAAATAAAAAAGAGAAACAAATACATGAAGAAAGTCGTTAGTACCCACAATCAAAATTTTTGCTCGCTTTTCAAACTTCGGCCAGCATAGAAATCAAACGATTTTTGAAGAAAAACATTGCTGATGCGCGCACTCGAATGTTATTTTTTAAATCAAATCATTCACTTCTTCACGATGCAATCATTTTTAAATAAGTTTGATGGTACATTTTGAAAATATAAATCATCAAATAACTTTGGAGTGCCTGCATAATACTCAGTCTCAAGAAGACAGGAACAAAGAAGAGCATATCCGTAATTGCATAAAATGAACATGCCATATAACGAAGCGCATGTGCAGCATAAATTGCAAGATTATCTAATGGTGTCCGGAAACATGTTTTTCGTTGAGAATTTTCCCTTGTTGAATGTAGCAAAGGATTTGAAATGGGTGACTTTGGTTTCTTTAGTGGGGGATAATTTCGATTTCGTCTAGTTTTGCGAAGCTTAATTATGAAAGCTCTGCATTCTTAGTATTTCTGAGCCGCATCACGAAGCCTCTGGAAATTTAAAACTATTGCTTCGTTTAATTTTATTCAAGAACTTACAGATACAATAAATTCAAGGAGCATTTTACGACGTATAGGAAATGAACCACTGCGTTCTGGAGCAGCGCGTTTGGATATCTCGCGAAAAACCATCACATTTAAAGTTCATCAAAACGAAGAATCGCGCAGATTAGAAACCTTATTTTTAATCCAGGATATTTACGCGCTTCGGGCAATTGAATTCCTAAGTGAAAACTTTCCGTTTTTACTTGTGTGGTTCAGTTGGTTTTTAGAACCCTTAATTACGCAAAGAAGTGCGCAATTTTTTATCCGTGAAGAAGTCAATTTCTTCGGCAGAAGTAACAGGAACTTTTCCAAAAAAATATTAAAAATGAAAAGAAGGTACAATCGAATGATCCCATGAACACTCAGTTTCAGGAAATATCCAATCCAGTAACCAGATCATGAGAGAGCGAGAAAAATGGGGTGTTTTGCATATTTTAGAATATTCAGATTCTGGGAGGCTATTTCAAAGTCATGAAGATACGCTAGCCATACGCCCCATGCGAAATAAATAATCCGAATACAGTATACTGAAAGAATCTCCCTTGAAAAAAAAATTCTGCGACTCCTTCAAGGGAAAAAATAAATAGGAAATTCGGGGTGCATTTGATCCCTGGCTTATGATGGTGCTAGTATATGTGAAGAAAGGCTTAGTTGTGCTTCCAAATGTGAATATTTTCCCTCACTGCATTCCAAAAAAGTGAACATTACTCGTCAGTATATAGTCGTTGCATAGGGTATGAACAGTGATACACACGGGAACCCGTTTTGGAAGAGGGTCAACAGATAACAGAAAAGCGCTCTTTCCTTGGATGGTCTTTAAATAGCTTTACTTTGCGTCTATACCGCGTATATCCCATAATTTCGTTTTTTTTTCTTCGAATTATTTTATTCTAGAAACCATTGCAGTGCTGTGTATATATACGCAACAAGCGAGGCATTCCAGCATATCGAGCAGTAATCCCCGATTAACTTATCTACTTGCCTTTCACCCGCTGAAGCGTTTACTCAGCTGCTCCGCAAAATACTGTATGTAAACAACTGACGGATGGAGAATCAAGACGCTAAAACTCTCTTCTTAAATATATACGCATTGGACTTTTCTGTTTACTATTTCGCTCCATTTCTATTGGTGACGAGGTCAAGTGAGCGCCAAGTCCAACTGAGCGTCAGGCCAGCTGAGCGGCACACAAGTGAGCTTCAACTCGATGAACCAACTGAAAAAATTGGTTGACGAACATTTGTTGATGAAATTCCCACCAGAAAATATAAAATCGATGCAAATTTTTTCATGAACTGGAATGTCCGAAATTCTTGTTATGATTGGAATCATTCGAGAACCATCTTTTCTATGCGAACACATCCTATACATATTATAGATCGTAAATAGAAGAATTATCCTTTTCGCCGCACAAAAAATGAGAAAAAAGATGCTTATGAGAGCTTATTATGTGCAACCAAGCATTTAACAGAGGCCAGCATTATTCTTAGTCATACAATATTTACAGGGATTCAATGATCGCTCAATTTTCCTCAGGACTCAGTCGTGTGGTCGCGATATTAAACAAGTTATATTGGTGTTTCTAAAAGAGGTTTTTTTTTTAGGAGTTACAGGCAATTTCTTTGAGAAATGGGGACTAAAAATGAAAATACATATCCTTTATGGCAAACAATGCTGTTTGTTTAAAAAAAGTTATGGGAGCTTTTTGGGTGGAAATTTAAAGTAAGAAGAAATAAAAATGAACCCTGCAGTTCTACGATATCCATCTTCGTAGCGAGTC